CAAAGCTACAATTGTAGCTTCCTGATTTGGTATTGCATATGCCTCAGGCCACTTGGTGAAATAATCCATCACCACACAAATGTACCTGTTTCCAGCACGAGTTTGGGGCAAAAGACCAGCAATGTCAATGGCCACTCTTTCCATTGGTGCACCAACTTGATATAACTTCATTGGAACAAGTCCCTTATGCTTGGGTTCCCTTTTAGTACAAAATGTACTATAGGTCCAGCACCATTCTTCCACATCTTGCCTCATACCTATCCAGTAAAATATCTGTCGTAGGTGACTCAATGTTTTCTTAACTCTGAGATTTCCTCCTGTTAAACTATCATAGGATTGGTGCAGCACAAGTTCCTGTAACTTTCTCGGTATAACTGTTTGCCAGGTCGTCACTTTCCCATCTCCAGACAAGAATACCATCTTCAAGCTTCAACTGGTCCCATTGTGCCCAATAGTGCTTTGTCACAGGGCGCAAAACACTTGCTTTTAGAAAATCAATTATTGGCTTCAAATCTTGATCTTTCTCCTGCTCTGCTTTAATATCTATACCTGGTTACACTTCACCATCATCAACTCCTTCAATCACTTTGACTTCAGCTCGATGGCACCTGGTTAGTTCAACCTCTCTTTTGCAGCAATGTCTGCAGCCATTTTTGCAGGGTCTTCGGCTAAGTCCGTCGGCATTTCCATGAGATTTTCCTTCTTTGTATTCAATATCATAATTATACTGGTCTATCTTTCCAATCCAACGTGCCAGTTGCCCCTCTGGTTTCTTTAATAATTTTAACCAGCGTAATACAGCATGGTCTGTCCTGATGGTAAACTTGGCGCCATAAAGGTAAAGATGGAAATATGTCAGACTCTTTACTATAGCAAGGAGTTCTCTCCATGTTACATAGTAGTTCCTCTCTGGTCTACTCAGGACCGTACTGAAGTAGGCAACCACATGTTTGTTTTCACCCACTTTCTGAGACAACACTACTCCAATTCCGACAGTACTAGCATCACAATCCAATATGTATGGCAGTGAGGGATTTGGAAGCTTTAAAAGTGGAGATGAGGCCAATTTTTCTTTCAATGTCTTGAAAGCATGCTGGCAAAAAACTGTCCATTCGAACTTCTGGCCTCTTTTTTGTCAAATCATGTAGTGGAGCAGCTATAATTGCAAAGCCCTTCACAAACTTCCGATAATAGGTACAACATCCCAAGAAACTTCTTAACTCTACCACATTGTCCGGTGTTGGCCAATCATGCACTGCTTTCACCTTGTTAAGATCATTTCACACACCATGCTCACTTACAATCTGACCCAAGTAAAGCACCTCTTTCTGGAACAAGTGGCATTTCTTGGGATGGAGTTTGAGGTTTGCTGCTTTCAAATGCTTAAATACTTCCTCATCAAATGTTACTGCAAACACAATGACATCATCCAGGTACAGTAGGGCTATCCACCACTGTAGGCCTTCCAGTACTCTTTCCATCATCCTATCAAATGTTGCTGGAGCATTGCTAAGCCCGAATGGCATCACACAGTATTGCCAGAGACCTTGGCCATTATTAAATGCAGTCTTAGGTTTATCTGCTTCAGCCATTATCACTTGATAGAAACCAGACTTTAAGTCCAGAATTGAAAACCACCTGGCTCCACTTAGAGCATCAAGAGTATCATCAATTCTTGGCAGTGGATATGAGTCCTTTTCGGTTATACTGTTTAGAACCCTGAAGTCCACACAGCAACGTTGGGTCCCATCCTTCTTCTGGACTAACATGATGGGAGCTGATCAGGGACTATCTGATTTATTTACTATCCCTTCCATAATTAGGCCATCCACGACATCCTCCATCTCTTGTCGCTTTTCTCCTTGAAGGGATCTTTATTGGACGGTGATTCCCTGTGTTTATTCTGTGCTCCTCAAAGTCTGTGCAGCCACAGTCATGATCTCCTTTCAAAAAGACGTCTGCATAGTTCGCCAAAAGTTCCGTAACCTGAAGAGCCTGTGATGATGACAAATGGATTATGCTCTTCATATAGAGATCAGTTAAATGTTTTGGAAGAGGATGTCCTTTCTTTATGGTTGAATTTCTTGCCTTAACATTGACTAGCTCTACCTTCTGGCACACACCCAACAATGCCCCTTCCTTAAGTGTTTGCAGACATTTAGAGAAATTAGCCTGGGTGGGTCTTCTACTATTTCCACAAGCTTTGGGCATCCTTGGAGATTTTCTTTTATTCTATCTCAAATTATCTTCTCTAACATAGGGGTATTGTAGCTGACTTAAGTGCTGTGACATGCAAATCAACAGATGCAGCAACACATACTGGAATTTGGCTTTTGTTGTTCCCAAACATCATTTTATCAAAGTTAACTACACACTTCCTAGGTAGTAAGTAGTCCAACCCTAATATGCATTGGTCTTCAATGTCAGCCAAGTATACTTTGTGTCTGTCCTTTATGCCCATGAGCTCAATAGTTCCCCACACTGGTCCCCACAACCTTGCATAATGTCCTGTCACACTACAGAGCTTTTGTATGGCTTTTGGTACTCCTTTGTGATCTAGCACGTTGATACTCACAAGGGTTTGCTGAGATGCAGAATCTATGACAAAGTTACAATTTTTGCCATCCAGCTTTCCTCTCATGTTGACACTATGTGTACTTGCCATTGTACACTTAGCTGTTGGGACTTTCACAATGGGGGTTGGTGGGCATCCCTCAGCAACAACCACTACTAGTGTCCCGAAGCTGACGTATTGGTAGTATTCTTCTTACACTGGCTCCTCATATGTCCTTGCTCTCCACAATTCCAACAACCTTTCTGGGTAGCAGCCTTTCCTGCCATAGCATCTTCCCTGTGTTGAACTTGCTGGCATTGAGCTCTCTTGTGCTCAGGTTTGTCACAGTGCCAGCAAAGTTCCTCAAACTTCTCTGAGAGCTGCCCTTTTTTGCCTTGAATCCTGATGACTGTACCAACCTTGGTATTTCTGTTCTGGACTTAACATAGGATTCCAATTTAAGAGCTCTGGCCATTGCATCCTGCATAGTAGAGGGGTGTGCTTACTTTACTTGTATCTTCAGTTGTGGACTGTCCAAGGCATCTACAAACTGATACCTCAGCAACAGCTTGAGGACATCGGGTGGTGCAGTTGGGTATGCCTTGTGTGTCATACTTTCCAAATCCTGTGCCAGCTCTTGCAGGCTCTCCCCTTTAGCATGGACTATAGTCCTAAACCTAGCCCTGTAGACTTTGGACTGATTTTGAGTTCCATTCCTGAGTTTTAGAGCAGCTACCAGTGCTCTATAGTTGTGCCTGTCGTCTTCTGACAACTGTCCAAGTATTTCCAGTAGTTGTCCCTTCAGGCTCGTTGCCAGATATACTGCTTTCTGCTCATCTGCCCATCCATTCATTTCTGCCACTAGCTCAAATTGTGCTCTATGTGCTTCCCATCGAATTACTGTGGCTTCCTTTGTACTAGATCACCCATATTGCTGACACTCATGTTTGGAATGTGACTTCTGGCAGGACTGAAGATGTCTGCATTAGGGTTTAGCTGCAGTTTCTGGAAGGGGCTTACTGTTGTCTGGGGCTGATTAGGTCCATGGTTAGTATATCCTCCCTGTGTAAAAGACAGTAAATCGTCCTTTAATGTATTTAATTCATTTTTAAATTTACTAATCTTTTCCATTTGTGTATGCTGGCTTTTTGTCAACTGTTGGAGACTTTCTTCCTGTTTCTTTTGTTGTTCCAGTTGCCACTGGTGCTGGCTTTTTGCCACTGCTGTAGTCTCTCTTCTTGTTTATTTTCTCGTTTTTCTTGTTTCCTTTCTTTTTCCTCCAACAATTGCTGTAATCTCTCCTCTTGATTCTTTTCTCATTCTTATTGTTTCCTTTCTTTTTCCTCCAACAACTGCTATAATCTCTCTTGTTTATTTTGCTGTTAGAGCTGCCACTGTTGCAAGCTTTCTTGCCACTGCTGCTGTTTCACTTTTTGTTTCTTTTCTTTCTCGTCCAACCACTGCTGTAATCTCTCTTCTTGTTTCTTTTTGCCTTTTCTTGTTTACTTTGCTGTTCTTGAATTGCTGCCATCAAATCTGCTAAGCTGTAGTTTGATTTGCCACTTCTGGTTTCCATCTTTTTTTTTCTTTCTTTCTTCTTTTCCTCCCAGTCTCTGACATCAGTTTGTTACATATCTGCTAGTTTGTTAATTTCCGGTATAAATTCTTTTGAGGAACTTCAGCGATACAAGTCATTTCTTAATTAAACTAGTTTATTCTTTCTGGATACAACTTTGTAATACACAGAATTTCCACAGTCACTTTAAACTTAACAATCTTTATAACACACACTATAAATCACAGTGATTCACACACTTTACTTACGGTGCCTACTGTTAGCTTGACTCAATTATCTCTATCTTCAATCTACATGCCCCGCTGGTTTTTCTCGCCAGGCTTATATATTAAAAAAAAGGGCAGCTCGATCAGACTAGAGTTGCCGGGCAAATTCATGATTCTTCGAGAAACTCCAGCGCACATACTACCGCTGTCGTAACAGTATATAATTTACGGGAGTAAATTTTGGAAGCCTTAAGGTTAATTTGATTATTATGTTTTATATATTCTTAAGGATGTTTCGGGTGTGAAGTTTGCGTGCTTATCTGCAATGAGACTGATATAGTTGATGCGTTTGCTAAATGAGGCGTGTATGTTTTGAAATAAACTAAGTACTGGCGCTCCCGTACGGCGTAAACGAAAACTACCACATTTGTCCAAAATTTGCTGCATAATCTAGTGCCAATGCAGAGACTGTGAGAGCGTTGAACTACGAACGACTTACCGATATTTATACTACAGTAAAAGTTGACTGGGGTGTTGTGTTCTGTGCGGATTGTATGGCTGAGCTGAGGAATAAGGTATTATATGGATAATAATTATATGTATGATTTACATTTAATGTATTTGTAAGACTGTAACTGTAATATGTTAAATTATTACTTACATCCATATTTAAATACAAATTGGAATGTTTTCAATACAGTTATTTTTACTTTTTTCCAGTAATTATAGATTTAATAATTAGCAGGGGATTTTTGTTTTTCATTTTGAATTTTTATAAGTTACTTAGAATGATGACAGAGTACTTTGTGAGATTCAACAGCTATATTGTTTTTGCTTAATTTACTCTGATAATTAAACCCAAAAGCCTTACTTTTGTCAGTTTTATAATCTTAACATATCTGAAACGCTGCTTAACCAAATGAGTGATTGTTTGCAAGCTCTGTTCAGGGATTTATACCCACCCTGTCATGGTGACAGCAAATTATTATAATCATGTCTTATTCTTTCCAGATTTTGAAATAGGTTTATTATGATTATTATATGAATATGAAACAAATGCAGCTACATCATTAGTATTACAAAACAAGATTGTAAATTTTTCAGTTCAGACAACTTGTTGAAGTTGACTTTTCCAATGAATTGAAACTGAATAAATTACTTTGAAAAGCATTGTGGGCACTAGATATGGCAGATATAGTGTAGTTGTTTCTTTTTTCTTCTTCTTTGTTATAGTATTTGTAAATTAGCTTAGAACAACTTTGGCTCATCTCACTCAAGTATGTGAACTAAAAGTTAGGTGGAATAATGCCCTAGCACAACAGTAGTGAATTCTTTAATTTTTAATTCAAGGTGTTGACTTAGCTTTTATATTATTATTCACACTAACAACATGTATCTTCCACAGAAATGTATAATTTTTCTCTGTTGTGATTATTCCTTTTTAGTAGTGTTCATACCTGTATGATTGAATGTTTTTTTTTTTCAGATAAGTGTTGATTGTTTATTCTCATTTAGCAAATAGATTAAAATATACTGTATGTATGTTAATTGATATTAACATAAAATTGAAAAGGTTGGTACTAGCTAAGATACAAAATAATACTAAACAAGAAATGGCAGTAACTCAGTTTTTTTTTCTAATGAAAACGATGTACAAAGCTCAGGATAATGAACTATTAACTAGTGAAAGGATGAATAAGTCATACTGTTGAGTGTAATAAATAGAAAACAACACTTGTACAATAATTTGAAAGCTTTACATATTTTTATGACCAAATAAATTATCTCTATCATAAGACCATTTTAGTTGCAGCAGTTTTGAAATTTATAAAGCCACTATCTTTTATTAGTTGATTTAGAAACCCACAGCCCATAATTTTTTTTATAAATACAAATAAGAAAGTCATGATTTTTAGTTTTATTTAGTTAAACTCTGCTAGACAAAAAGAGGTTGATTAAAAAAGATTTAAAAATAATGTTTCTTTCATTTCAAGAAAATTCAATTTTAATGCAAAATTTTCAGTTTCATATTGGTCTGTATTGCTGTTATTGTTAAATGTTGAAATTCTGATGCGCATCATGTAAATATTAAAGTTCTAATGACCTTGATTTATAGAAATATTAATAAACTTTATCAGATCTTAATCTTATTTTTTTCTTGTTCAGTTGTTTTATTCTCTCCTCTTAGTATCTAGAAAAAACGGTTGAATTACCATAACTGAAAGCAACTAAAATGATTACTTTTAACATTGTAAAGTGGTTTGATTTCATAGTTTCTGCTCTTTAATCTAACAGTTGAATATTAACTTTTATATGTCCTTCAAAAATAGTATGGATACTTTTACACCAAGAACAGTTTTAAAGTGATTTTTTTTGTAACTTAAATTTTAAAATACTGTTATAACAAATACAGCTGTTGAACATATTACTAAAAGTCAATATTTATCCCCCAGGTATGAAGTTTGGTGGATTAACTTCTCTATTATTTTGTTGAATGGTGGAAGTCCTACAGAAGTGGTTCAACACTTTAGACTGCATTAAGTTCCTTACACCTTACTTTGGATTTAGAACTATACAGTATAAAGTTAAACAAATGCTTGTTTTTCCAGCTTCAGAAAGAAATAAAGATGCAATTATAAATGTTCTTAAGCATTATTTACCTGACCCTAAGAATGAAAAAAAGTTTTTTGTTCTAGAAGTGGCCTCTGGTAGTGGACAACATGTGAGCTGTTTTGCATCTAAGTTTCCAAACTGTCAGTGGCAACCATCTGAGGTCTCAGCAAGATGTTTGCATAGTATAAATGCATATATTGAGTCACTGGGTGTAAAAAATGTTCTGCCACCAATGAAAATTGATGTAGCTCTTCCAGTTTCCCAATGGAAGGATAACACTTTGATTACCAGCTCAGTGGATATGATGCTTTGTATAAATATGATTCATATTGCTCCTTGGCAATGCACTATTGGTCTCTTTAATAGTGCAGGTGTATTGTTGAATTCTGGTGGTGTTCTTGTAACATATGGGCCATATGCAATTGATGGTCAGTTAACACCACAAAGTAACGTCCATTTTGACAGAAGTCTCCGTCAAGAAAATATTGAATATGGTGTAAGGGATGTTAGAGACCTTAAAAAACTTGCAAAAGATAATAAAATGACATTGGAAAAAGTTTATGACATGCCAGCTAATAATAAGACTTTGATCTTTAGGAAGTAATTGTAATTTCACTTTTTAATATATATTGTATTTAAACATAGAAGGTGGTAATGTTTTTGCATGGACCATTTATACATATATAAAGTATTAACACTGGTAAAAAAAATTGTATTACTAATAGTAGAAATAATAGCCATAATAAAGATGCTGAATGTGATCTACCTGATACAGGTGTTCACCTAAAAATAGCTTGAGTCTATGTATTAATACTTGTGAAATGTGTACAACTGATGTATTTGCATTAGGGTGATTTCCATTAGTTTCTTGGTTTATTAATTATTTAGTCAGTTGTATTGAAAATTTATTGAAAGTAAGTTTTGTTTTGTAGGATGCTCAGACTTGAAAAATGTTTCTAACTTATTGATTGGTGACATTATGAGCCATACTAACAGACTATTTTTATAGGCCATATGTTTTGGTTATTTTTCCCAAAAATATTGAAAAGTTTATAATATTCTGACTTAGTGATGACTTCATGATCATAGTTTTTTGTTTTTTTTTTGGAATTAGAGTTCTTGTAACAAAAATTTTGAACTAAAGGTGTCAGTTATGGAATTAATTGTTTTTGGAACTGCTATTTTATCACTTTTAATTGGTGCAATAGTGACTGATCAGAAATTGCTTTAAGGTTTTGCAAAATGTGTACTGTGGATGTATGCTTAACTAAAAATTTGCATGTATGTTTATTCTCATTAGTGGCGATAAGACAATGAAAACTGTATACACAGGCTGCTCACTCACACTGATTCAGCCAGCCTGTTCACAGTTATGACTGGTCTCACCAGTACTCAGCTGACTGTGTAAATAGAATATTAACAGATATGCCGGAAAAACTAACAGAGAAAACAAAGAACTTCAAGTGATAGTGATTGTATTGTATGGAGTGTAAGAACTGCCATTGTGTTCAGCCAAAACATGTAAAAAAAAGCAGAATTTTTTGTGTAATGTACACACAATTTTGGGTTGATGTCCAAATAAAACTAAAAATAATAACAATATAATACCTCAATTTTTTTGTTTGGAAAAGGCTATTTATTCTACAGCATTTATATCAGTATGAAAATGGTTTTTTGGTATTGCAACATTGTTTAAGTCTTTTGACTTTATTTTATTTATAAGTTTATTTGTATAACATTTTATTATTTGCCATACTAATATGTTGGATACAATGTACTGGGAGTTGATGTATTAAAAAGCAGATACGCATCAAATTTAAACTACAGTGCAAGTTTTACTTTTCTGTGTAGTATACAACTTGGTTAGATGTCATAGATTAGGTTAGTTTAAAATCCTAGTTTATGGTTACTGTAAATAAACAATGGTTTTAAACTACCCTAAGGTATGACATGTAATCAAATTGTATTCATCATCAATCAGTTTATTTCAGTTCAGCCATTTTCTTCTTTCTTCCATTTGGTGCAACATTTATGAAGCAAGTTGCACAAGAACAAATTATCACTGAGACCTTTCTGCTTTGTTTTGCTTTTTAAAGGTCAAAATAATACTTAAATATTTATACACTACTGTACTTCAGGAAAACAAAAATTATTTATCTCAATGTTTTATCATTACAGCTTTATCAGGACAACATGATTACTGTATTTCAGCAAAACTGAACCACAGAATATGTTTTGTATTTCTTAAGTCTACCCAAACAATCAAATAACTGAAAAAGAAGATGCTTCTTCCTTACTTACTGATGTATATTTGTTTATATAAGATTGCTGTTAAATGGAGTCATCAGATATACATTCACTAATGTTAAAATTGTCTAACCACACACTCCTTCCAATACAATGAATTCTTACATCTTTTCGAGCACTAATATATGAAGGATCTTTGATCAGTTATTATAAGTTTTCATTTAAACCATTTGAAACAATTTCTCATGGTATTAATATAGGTCAAAACAATGAACTTTACATCTTTATAACTTAGGATGTTTTAAAAAAACTGTAAAATTCTAGATTCATTACAATATTTGTAATATTATTACAGATTTAGATACTAGATCTAATTCTGTGTAGTGTTATAGCATTTGTGTTACATGAGAGTAATCATTGTAATTAAACTTGGTATTCATATGCAAAATAATGGTTGAGAATAAGTCAAAATCATTGACCAATTACTTATATTTCAAAATAATAGTAGAATTCCCATTATAAACATGTCTGCACCTAAAAAATATAATGTTAAATAACCATTTCAGTTTTGCAGTCTCTTTCCTGTGACTTACAAAGTATTTCATCAGTACTTCTAACAAAAGGGACAATTTGCATCTTTAAACACCAAATACATCAGAATAATTCTGTAATTCTAAAATAATGCATGGTTTAATACTTAGTAGTCAGGAATATATAATGGTACTGACAGATACTATACAAATTCCAAGACAGTCCCAATATAAAAACTGTAATTTTTAATCTGCATTTGGTGTAAACTGTAAAGGGAGTGGCTGAAATTATGGCATTTCTAGTATAAGACAATTTGTCAATTTATTTCACTGCAAACAGACTAGCTAATTTTCAGTACTGAGAGTAAGCTGGTGATACTGGGTGTAGCAGCATGATGGGACACAACCCACTGAACCAGTTGAGCATACACCTCACACGGTACCCTAGCATGGACAATGGGAGTATAGATGAAAAACTTGATATTGTAATTTATAGGATGAAGAATGAAATTATGTGGTGACAAGGTATTTTCTTTACCAATTCCTTGGCCACATCAAGTCTGTAGACTTGCTAGAAAAGTTATTGTCAGGACTGTCCCAACTAAACCCATTAATTTGTAGAATAAAAAATAGGCGAAGCAAAAATGTAGAAGTAACTATCATTAAGAGGGATGATAATTTTTTTTGCAGGTCTATTCATAATAATTATTGGGAGTAAACATTTTGACCTAACATGGTAGTTGATAAATTATTACTAAATGACGAAATATATAAATTGATCATAATCATCAGGTTATGTTAAAACTGCATACAAATGTTACTGGTAGTAATTTTCGAATTTATAGCTGACTGGTACACTTACCCACTTCATCATTTTTGTATTTAGAACTATTTGATAAATAATTGCAGTTAAAAAAAATGTTCAAAATGTTATTTTTAAAATATAATTACCTGTTTTAGACAAAGAAAACTCAATCTGACAAAAATTTTGTAATCTTATCATACAGAAACTGCTATATATTTATAGAAGAATGGGATCCAAATTCCAAATGTTAATTATTGTGACACTTTATTGAGTTCTTATAGTGATAATTACATGGAAAGAAAAGTTCTCTTTATAAAGTCTTTATACATTCAAGATATGCAATTAGTGTAAGAATACAATTTTTTTTAATGATTATTAAAATCTCACTTTGAATTCTAAACATTTGTGTTCTGGAAATTATCAGGTATTTAAGATAATTGAATATTGTGTAATAGTTTAGCTTCAAAAGAACATGAATAATGCATCTCAATATTATTTCAGAATTTTTTATCATGGTGTAGGCTTTTTCCATAGGTTTATTATTTGTGACTACAAACCCACAGCTGTTTTTTATATTTAACATAACTTTTGCAAAAAGCACAGAAAGAGGTGATTTTACATAAGTTTACAAGATTATCTATGGAACTGGTAGATTAAGACATTTGATTATGTATGCTGTATTTTTAAGAAAATAAAAAGAGAGAACACTAGTTTAAATAGTTTGAAAAGCAGACTAGGTTCTAATCAAGTCCTTAAACCCGAGCAGACACTGCCAGCATCCGGCCAAAAATCCAAATTTACCCACTAGATAGTGACAGCATTCAATACATTTATGTCTCTTTGACTGAAAACTAATCCAAACCATGTTATTATCCACAAAATTAAGAAAATCGAAGTTTTTAAAGATATTATGATAATTAGTACTATGAAATCATGAAAATAATTCTGGCAGAATGCTAAAAAAATTACTGGTTTAAGAGAGTTATTTTTCAAACAGTTGACTAAAGTTTAGAAAGTGTTGACTGTATAATAATTTCAAAGTATATGATTGTTTGTTTTGTTTTTTAGAAGTTAAGCACAAAGCTACACAATGAGCTATCTGTTGCTCTGCCCACCACAGGTATCGAAACTTGGTTTCTGGCAGAATGCTAAAAAATACAGGTTTAAGAGAGTTATTTTTCAAACAGTTGGCTAAAGCTTAGAAAGTGTTGAGAATTTACCATTATATGAAGTTTACAATTTTTAATTTTAACTTTTTCTTATAGTTGTGAAGAAAAGGACAACTTTAAAAAACCAAACTGTCCCTTGTTGTATACATAGCTATAACATAAAATGCATATATAGAACAAAATGAGGGATATACCAGAAAAAAAAAGCACTTTGTCCATAAGAGCAAAAAAATATGAGAAAGGAAAAATATCAACAAGCATACATAGATTTTGAAACTAAGGTTTCTGATGATTATCCCAACAATAATATTGTCCCTCAGAAAAAGTATATAGAACTGAAAAAAATATATTAAATATAAATTAATGGTTCCTCTTAATACAACCATAAAAAAGAAATGAAGAACTTCAATTAAAAAATCAAAAACCGAGTATAAAAAGACCTGAACTGTGAAACAGAAATGATCAGACACTTAAATATTAAGCTGCAAGAAAATACTTTTCAAAAGTTTGAAAGTAAGTTTATTTAAGACATATTGTGTTTTATTTTAAGAGGTACCTGTACTATATTTGATTGGAAAAGTACGTAAACAAGGAAAAATTTCTCTTAATTCAAACACTTATTATTTTTCTTCACTTACAGAACCAATAACTCTCAAATAGGCATAACAGATATTACTGCATAATAATTTCAAAGTAAATGATTGTTTGTTTTGTTTTTAGAAGTTAAGCACAAAGCTATGCAATGGGCTATCTGTGCTCTGCCCACCACAGGTATTGAAACCCGGTTTCTAGCATTATAAGTTCGCAGACATATCGCTGTGCACAGGGGGGCTCAAAGTAAATGAAACAAGTATTTACTAAACATTGTAAAGAACAGAATTTTGTAAGAAAGAAATGAGAAATAGTGTAAAAATATCCAATTTTCATGACAGTTGTGTTGTAAGTAAATGAGTGAAGAAGTTACTCCTATATATTATTATAGTGTGATTTACATATAATTTTCAGTAATACAAATTACCATGGTTCTTGAAAACAACTACAGGTTTCCACACTGTGAGCAATTATCCCTATCCAAGTCATTTACATGCAGAAGTAAGTCAGATATCTTTGCTGAAATTCCATGATAACCAACACAACCTTGCTTAAGAAATTGATCCTTTATACAAAACAGTTAAAAGCATGGTTTTATACGTATTGCCTTTACACTTTCCAGTAAGTACTTCATCGGTTTTAACATCATTATTATCACTTTCAGATAAGTTTAGGGCCCGTGAGAGGTGGGGTGCATAAGGTGGCAAAACACTAGTAGTTAAAAAAGTCTAGTGCCAGGTTAATAAACACAAAATATTGAAGAAGTCTAACTTTTAACTGGATCAAATTTTGCTACATTTCCCTCAAAGTCATTGTCATGTACCATATGTGTAAACACAGCATTTTCCTGTGGTCATCTGGCAATCCTTGGCTCTAGCCCCGTTCCTCGATCGATCCATACTTGCACGTTATCACGTGATATGCTTGCTAGTTTATTGCTACGCATAATGTAGTATAGCCTTCTAATGCAGAGGAGTAGAGTAACTTAGTTTTTCAGGGTTTGAAATCTAAGAATATTCAGGTGAGCATATGAACTTTAAAAAGGACAGATCTGTCTAATTTAGATAGCATGCTGTTAACAGTTTGGTATTAAAGCAGTTGCTGACCTTGATTCTTTGAAAGAGAAATTGATAGAATCACGTGAAAAGTCCTGTCAAGAAGCACTTAAGGTGGCCAGGAATCAATGTGAAACATGGGGATTGACCACTGAAAGAAGAAAAATACGTTGTAAACGAATGCCAGGTGAAAATGCAGCTGATGCTGGATTGACTGCTGAACAGAAAATTTATCGCATCATGAAGGATGTTATTGATCAATTGATTACAGAAATAACAGGAAGATTTTCTCGCTTACTAGATTTAGATTCACAGTTTGGATTTCTACTGGATGTGCAAAATATTGTTTCTGGAGATTTCGAAGACGGAAAATTGCAAGATAAATGTTCTGACAAAGAGCTATCCAGGTGATATTGATGGACCA